GCTCTTTTTACAAGTTACATTTCATTCTAGAATCTTGCTTTCTCTTAAGCATGGTTCTGCCTCTTTGAAGGCTTTCTCCAAGAGCAAATTGTCTTGAGACATAAGATGATACAGAGCTTCCTTTGGGAGTGTTATCAATGCTTTTCTATCAGTGAGGCCAAATATTGTTTATTTAAGTATAACTCACAGTGTTTTCACTGACATTTTGGTCATCAGACTTACAGAAACAGACATTGCTCAATATATGTTTCTGCTTTTTTCTACTTTTGAAATTAAATTTTGGTTTTTCTTATGTCTGTGAAAATAATAGTCAGTACCAAGAATTCTCATCTGCTGATAAGTATTGTGAGTTGACTGTGGGTCAAAACATTTCCTGTGGAATATAGCAAACCTGTTGCTGTACTCCGTTCTATCATTGTGTTTTGGGTGCTCAAATTTGATAAACAGATGATTGCACTATCTGAAAAGGGCCATTGTCCACTCCCCATACACGGAAAATAAGGGGCCTGTCACTTCAGTTTCCTACTCATGCCTTTGAGTTTCTGAGGAAGCTCGCAAAACTTTGTGCACCACAGAAAGTGAAATGAGTTTGTATTCCAGATAAAATATGCGCCAAATCCTCTTGACACTAATAATTTTGCTATTGTCAACTTCCGAGAGCAAAGCACTTTTATTTTGATAAAAGATAGGTATGTCATAACAGAACATGCACATTGTAAAATGGGAGGTAAAAGCAGTATATTGTGAAGACACTGAACATATAGCTATGCTTGGAAGCTATTTGTATAGGGGTTTCTTTCATGGACCGACCTGAATAGGGCACGCTATTAAGAGCAGATGTCTGAACTACAAGACTTCCTGAGCTGCCTGACAACATTTTCTATGATTCTGTGATTTTACAAAAACTGGACATAAAAACTTCTTTTTGGAACAAAATTGTGAATGAATCAGACAGAAATCTGCAAATTTGGATAAAAAGAGATTATAGTTTCATCCCTTCTCTCCCATGTATTCTCTTCACAGGATATTGCCGGCGCTTGGCAGAGACTTGAACAAGCTGAGAAGGGCTATGAGGAGTGGCTGCTGAATGAAATACGAAGACTGGAAAGACTTGAACACTTGGCTGAGAAATTCAGGCAGAAGGCTTCCACTCATGAACAGTGGGCATATGGTGAGCAGAGATGGCTTTTAACATTTTTAATGTTTTAATGTTCAAGGTTGAACTGTCAGTGCTGAATATTTGCCAGCCAGAAACTGGCTCGTAAGTAGTTTGGACAGTTTTAGAAACCTAAAATAATAACAGATAAAATTGCAGGTTTTGTTAACTATAGTTGTGATCCTAATTTGTAGGCATGTTGCTAATGAAATGTAACTGTAAAAATCATACTCTTGAGGTAGTGAGTCAAACTCGATGGGAATATTCAGCATTTGAATACAGGCCATTACTGCTAATGCATTCCTATGTATTTGTACACCAGCAATCCAATGGGGAATGCAGTGACACCACTGGTTAAGTGTGAAATTGTTAACAGAGTTATTCTGAGTTGATTGTCCTTTGGCCATCGTGATGTTTTGAATAGTCCACATAAACTACATAAAAATGGACTCATTTCTGCTTTGCTCCATACCCTGGATTACACCCCATTTATAGTTCTGGTTTTTAATGGTAACCTAACCTTACGTGTAGTTGTAACAGCTATCGGATCATACACTGGCAAATGGTTTTGTTGCGGACCATTAAACATAGATCTCCTCTGTCATCCCATTGTTTGCTCTGACAACAGTCTTCCTGCTTCTGCCATGCTTCTGGCTTTTTCCAGCTAGAATCTTTTCACACTGTGAAAGTAGACGAGAGTCCATCCCGTAACACAGTTGCTGGAAGCATACAAGGCTGTAAATGGCTGCCAAGAGATACTAGAAGGGAAACTACAGTGTTTATCAGCCCTAAGAGCCCGTTTTCTGTGCATAAGCTACTCATGGTGACATGTTATGGCTGTTATGCAGGGAAAACTTCACATAAGCTGGTACATAGCAAGCAAAACAATAGGCCCTTCTCCGTCTAGAATTCAGAGCTGTGTAATGCCATGCAGTGAGCTGCAGTTGTAGGGGCTGTCTGTATGGATCCACTTGTCCAACATAGGGGCTACTGAGGAGTAACATTTCAGTTTCCGATTTCCTCTTTGCTTCTCTAGCCTTTCGTAAATAGGTTGGTATTTTCCACTTAAAATTCAGTGTTTGATACAAAAGGCAGCCACACATCTTTTTTTTTTTTTTTTTGAAGTGCTGAAATGAATAATGAATTGTAGGCAGAACATGAAAAAGAATAACAGATCATTAGTAAGAGTGAAGCTGAGCATGGCAGTGTGATTTCTAGTTTTGTAAGTTTACTCTACAAAAGACTTACCACAATCGTTTAGAGCCCCAGTTTTTGCCAACGTGCCATTTTTATGCCATTTTCTCAAGCAATGTAATAGTCGCTATTTTAGACCAGTATAAACAGCCTATGCAAAAACCAGGGAATTACTGAGAGATCTTTAGAAATATATATTTCTAATTAACACTGTTGTGCTGACAATTTGCTACTGATTTCAGTGGGGGTGGGACTTCATCTCATACATATGATTTTCACCATGCCTCAGTTTAAAAAGTTGACTAGATTTGCAATTGTTCTAACCAATAAATTAATAAAAATGACTAATATTTTAATTTCCTCTTCCAGGCAAAGAGCAGATCTTACTTCAGAAGGATTATGAATCTGCTTCTCTGACAGAAGTCCGCGCCATGTTAAGGAAACATGAAGCTTTTGAGAGCGATTTGGCTGCTCACCAGGACAGGGTGGAACAGATCGCTGCCATTGCCCAGGAGCTGAAGTATGTTCCATTTAAAGGCTTGCAGCTGCTGACATTTAACTTTGCGATAAACTCTTTCCAATGAATTTGATAGTGTCATAGGTACCAACGTAAGAATTCCAGAGATAGCTTCATAAGTATATTATCTGAGCTGGTCACTGAGACCTTTCCCTCATCTCCCCCTTACCCCCAACCAAATATAGCTATTCAACTGACCAAAATTATTTGAAAACAAACATTCTAAAATTGACTTAACAGTAATCTTTTAGCATTAGCTCTACTGATAAGTCCATTGTGTATTGATGGGAATGCTGGAGGTGTTATTTCTCAGTTCATATGGTCTGCTGAGAGATACTGCCTATGAGTTTTTTAACTTAGAAAATAATTTCACTTACACCGATTACAGATCAAGCATCTTCACTTTAAAATCAAGTATTTTCCCACAAGTATATTGGTCCTTCCAAAAGGCTTCACATCCCTATAGTATTGGGTAATGCACTGACTTTTCTGAAGATTTAACTGTCTCTAGTATACTTACTTTCACAATCTCTTCGTATTATATTTGGAAGTGCCATTGTCTCCATTTTACAGAAAGGGCAGTGGGGCATATGGGTCATGCAAGCAATCAAGCACAGAAGCTCTCCTATAGGAGAGCAGGAGTTTTCACCCTCATTTCCATCAGCTTAGCCACAGGACCAACACTTGCTCACTCAGCATACTATGCCCAGAGAAAACACAACTGAAGCTGAGAACAATTCTACAACACATTTAGGCTGCATCTGTGCTGTTGACATCAGCTACATAGGTCAGGGAGGTGAAAAGTCAAGGCCCCTGACTGACAGACACCCTCGTGGCAGCAGAAGCCCTGAGTGTTGATACAGTTACTCTGGCTAAACCCTGTCTTTATCGGTGGAGCTTGCTTTTGTTTGTGGGAAGGTTGTTAATTCACCGGCGTGAAGCACAGTTTTGTCAGCAAAGCTCTGCCCACCCTGACAGGACTGTAGTGTTACACACCGACGTCCCTATTCGGGTAAAGTTGTCTTGGTGTGTACACCAAGCTAAGGACATTTGGTTTTATAATCTTATGCAGTTAATTGCAGTCGTTTTGTACTGTAAATCAGTGGTGCTACTCCTGAACTTAGCAATTTGGCACATACTTAAATTCATTGCTCACCTGCAGTATAAATCTGTAAAGCCAACAGGAACAAGTGTGCAGTAGTGGTCGAAACAGGAGCCAAGATCAAAATTCTCAGATTCCTGCCCTTGGCTTCAGCTCTCCAAGTTTCAGTTTCTCACCTTCTTGAATAGGCAAAAGAGTTACTACTCAAAAATCAAGTGTTAAAAACATGTCCTCTTTTCACTTTGTGAAGGACCATGGCTCATAAATGGCTCCACATCATTAAAAATTTAAAAATCAGAGTTGTCTAAAAATGTAGTTCATATCTGATAGCAGCAGCACTTACAGTAATTGTATAATTCAAATGGATTTAGAAGAAAAATTCTGTTTTTCAAGATTATTTAAAGGAGGAAAAGTAAAGCACAGTGGGCAGAGTAAGGACTGGTTTTCAGTCAGTGTGAAAGAAGTCTGAAAAACACAGAGAATGGAGATTTTACTGAGTATGGGAGCTTATGAAACACCTTCTGTCACACCTTGATCTCTGTTGTGGAGTTATTTGTTCCTCTTTATACTGAACAAAGTTTCTGAAACACCTAATAATTGCTAATTCAGCTTCAGCTTTACTAGCGATGAGAAACTTTGGGAATCTAGTATACATAGCACAGCATCTGCTTACCAGCGTTTTCAACCCTGTGTCCTTTACCTCTGGTGAGGCCAGTGAACACTGTATCCTGTCTATTTTAGGATTGTCTCTTCTCAGTTGTTTCAGTAATTTGCTGTGTGAAGTTAAACAAGTTATTTGTGGCCTGGGCTGCAAAGGTGCTGAAAACCCATTGCTTTTAGAGATGCTCTACTTTGACTTCTCTGCTTCTCCATACAATGGGGCTATCAGTGCCTGATTTTTCACTGAGACTCAGTAGCCCAGTTAGGCTTAATGCCCTTGGAGAACACTGAATGAAAGGTCATAAAGGTCAAGCTTTATTATTAGCTGCAAGCAAATGGGCAGCTTCTATTTAAATACTGATGTGAATTATTTATACATAATTCCTCACCAATGAAATTATGGAGGAAAATGCTGATTTCTTGCTCCATTCATATTTTTAAAGAAGGATTGACTAGTGTCTGAATGCTAAGGAATGTGCACTGGCACCTGATCCAACGCCTCTTGAAGTCAATGTGGGTATTTTTTTTTTTTTTTTTTTTTTTTTTTATTTTTAAAGAAGGATTGACTAGTGTCTGAATGCTAAGGAATGTGCACTGGCACCTGATCCAACGCCTCTTGAAGTCAATGTGGTTTTTTTTTTTTTTTTTTTTTGTTGTTGTTTTATCACTGGATCAGGCTCTTACAGAAATCATCATCATCTGTGTCTAAACTCCAAGCCAGTACACCTCCATGTTTTGTTTTAGTCAATCTCTTGGCTGCCTAATGTTGCTGTTTTAAAGGAGAACAATTGCTGTGTTACCTTTAACTCTACCAGTTACAGTTTCCTGTCCTGATACTTTCTGCTGCCGCAGCTCAGCCCACTGTGTGCTTAAGGTTAAAGTTGCTAAAAGCTTGTTGATTGGTGCTGTTCAGATAAAGGATTTGTGTGTGTGTGCAAGCAGGTGATTCCAGCCAGGATGCTATAAGATTGTTGTGTTCCAGCCTGTGTAGACTTAGAAATCCTTGGCAATGAGGCATGACAAGGCTTGGACAGGGCTATGTACAAAGCTGGAAAAAGTCAGGAATTTCTAAAATGGGATTTGCCATTTATGACATAGCAAATGCTAAATAGAACTTGAGTGAGCTGTAATATGAAGTGCCATATTCATTTATGGTCTTGTGTGCTCATTTCGATGTTTTCAATCATCAGGATAAAATTTTTGGAATGTAGTTTCTTGCATATCCGTCACTTTTAGTATAGCAACTTATTTTCAACCAAGACGACCACTATCTGTAACGCTGATTTGGAGAGTCTTTTTGCTTCTGGAAACCTGGGCTCAAATTGTGCTTACGTGCATGATTAACATGAGCCTGGTTCTGAAGCAGTGCTAAAGCATGTTGCTCAGCAGGTTATTTTTGTGACACTATCACTGTTCCTAAAGTGATCTCATACTTCAGTGCTTCTCTGGATCAGGACAAAATTTGACTAAATTTGTAATTCTTTACAGATAAGATTGAACTACTTGTAAGACCAACAGGAACAGTTTAATGATTTTTAAATTCCAAACAGTGTAGATTTCAAATAACCAAACAAATAGAAATTACTATTCTCCTGGAAGCTCTGTAACACCTGTGCAGCAGTACTTTGTGTATGCATCATAAGCAAAACTTCTTTTTACAAAATGTGAAATCTAGTCTCTTCACAGCTTCAATGTTGAGAGAGGTACAAAAATTAATAGGATGAGGAATGTAAACCTGTGTTTTATTTCCAAGTAAATAATCTCCTATGAGTTGTTATTTCTTCCTCTTCTGCTTTGAGCAGAAAAATGTTCTTTCACACATATAATACACTTATTTGAATTAAACTATGGCAGGCCCAGAAAGGCAGTTGAGCACACTGTTTAATGCCACTTGATGATCTAACTTGTGAGTTTTGACCCACAGTTGCCCTTTTTAAAAGTTCTTTTGATAATATATTTCTCCTACCTATTTGTCCATGGCACATATCCCTGGAAGAAATAGGATAGCAGAGATCTTATGGGAAGTGACTGAACCTCCCTGGCAGAGCTGGTGGAGGAACGTTGCACATTACCTTCCAGGACTTTGACCAGAGCTGGTACAATTAGTCCCTCACTTTCATGGAAGGACACCTGCCCCTTATCCTGATCGACAAAAGGAGCTAAGCGATCCATTGAAGCAAAAATAAAATTTGCAGTACTCTCAGGGATGTGACCTGGAGTATCTGGAAAAATACCCTGTTCATATTCTGGTATATTAGATTTGGTATGTGAAAAGAGACCAGAATACAAATCTCCACATCCCATGCGCTTAGTGAGCTCACAGCTCACACAGGCGCATCATCTAATAATCTCCACATGCTATAATGAAAAAAACCAACTTTCAGAAAAGACTCATAGCAGCAAAATATATCTCAGCCTGTTTCATCCAAAACTCCATGCTTCTGAGTTAAAATTTCTTAACAAATAGATGACACTTGTTGCATCCATTGAAGGCTAACAAAAAGGCTTGCTCTAAAGGAGGAAGCAAGTTTTTGAGTTAAGGAGCCTTTGTATAGTATGGCTTGCTGGCAGCTTTCTCCTGACATATAATAGTTCTACTTTCACAATTTTGGGCTGCTTTTGTTATTTTGTAGAATTGTTATGGCATTTTATTTTTACCTGTTTTACCATTCTTCACTTCCAACAGTCGATTTATGGCAGCACACCTGAAGCCTCTTTTAAACAGAATGGTTCACATACTTCTCAAATTTATCCCAAACCAGATTGCTCTGACTGAGCTTAGAGGAGGAAGCATGAACTCTGTCCCTGGCCTACAGTGTAGCTTCATGGAGGAAAGCTGCCTCTGTTCTCATTTTGTCCTCTGTGAGTGACCTGTACATCCCTCTTGCCAATTGCCTAGAGAAGAATGCTCAAAAGAAGGGAACAAATTCTGTCTGCATTTAATGTCTTGTTCAAGCTTTAAAGTAAATCTTAGTTTCATATTGCCATGCTGTCACATAATCACAATCTCTGCAATGTTTAGTACTGGGCAAAGTGTCCTCAAGGAGCAGCCAAGAGCTAAATTCAGTGGATGATGATACACCAATAAAAGTGAGCTTCCAAAGTGCCAAACGCATGTATTTTATTATGGTCATCATGGCTGCAGCAGAACCAAGGGGATTATCTGCCACTGAGATCAAAAATTCAATTTGAGACAGACTCAGTGCAGAATCTCAGGACAGAGCCTTAAAAAGTTGTTCCAGTCTTAGGCAGAATAGTAAGTTGCTTTCTGTCAGGATAATATCAGCCTATTAAGCAGGTGAAAAAGCAATGCTAACTGCTACATCCTTTGTGGGTGCACTGATTCATGCTGGTGGCATACCTGGGTCTAGAGATGCCTGTTCTCTGAACCAGCCAGTTCTAGGGTGTAGCTCTGTGAGGAGTTCCTGGAGAGGAAGATGAAAATTGTTCTCTGTGCCCCAGATCTGGGCAGCCCCTATTAGTATTGCCAGGCCTGTGAGAGAGAGATTATGCTTTGAATGCAACCTGAGGTCTGTTTCTCAGTTAAATAATTTCAGAGCATATGAGGCTGGAAAGGATCATTGGATTATTTAAAACGAAACGTATATTTCAGGCCAATTAATTTAAAACTGTACCAATCTTCAGAAACTTGATAAAGCCTCAGACTGAAGCGTTCTGGTCTTCAGGAGATCAGATTGCTTGTGCCACAGGAATAGCTGAGACAAAGATGGTTAGACACCTTAATTTTCTTTAATACCTGGATGTCACAGATGGATACTTGATTTTTCTCACAACACAGGAGGTTGGTCCTGTTCCTGTGCTGTACTTCTTGAAATGCTGAATGTCTAGATCACACATGTCTATACTGCAACACTTGCTTACCTGGAGAACAAATATTGCAAAAAAGAGGGGAAGAATTACTGAGGGCCGGTGGAAGAGTGTGGGCCATGCAACTGCTCCTGTCTTTCAGAAAGTCACACAGATTTTTGTCTTCACTCTTTCTTAGTGAACTGGACTACCATGATGCTGCAAGTGTCAATGATAGATGCCAAAAGATATGTGACCAATGGGACAGCCTGGGAACACTTACTCAGAAAAGGAGAGAGGCACTGGAGGTAAACCGTATAACAATGATCAGCTGAAGCAGAGAGGCGGGAATAAACCATTTGTTTCAGATCCGGAAACAGTGCCATTGAGCATCCACTTTGGAATCCAAACAGCAGTAAACCCTTTCCTCAGATCTCCATCTCATTTTGCTGTGGTTTCATCTGCAAACAGTTTGAATTGCTCACAGCAGACTCGATAGTGCTCAGCTGCCAAGGACAGTTCTAAAGCAGCAACAAATGGCATGCAGTTTATAGCACCACTCTTTGGGAATTTCATGTCCAGCAAGGATAAGAAAAGCCATTAGGTGCTCACCTTTTTGTACTTGTCTGAGCTTAATCAGGTGAGGTACAGGATAATGGCCAGCACTGGGTTAATTTTTTTGGCAGCAAGTATTCCAAAGCACTGAGATACTCTCCAAAACCTTGTTCCTTAAGGAAAGAGGAAGTCACACACATGTATGCCAAGGTGGAAAACATATGTTTAACTCTTCCTTTTTATACTTACAATAAATTATTGAAGTGAGATTGGCAGATTTTAATTGATTTGCAGATAGATCACAACAACAAAAATACTTAAAATATCAGTAGTGAAAAAGTAATTTCACCTGTTATCCTTCAAAGGCATACACCCCTTTTAACATGCTGGATATGAGACTAACTTTACTGCAGTTAGTCCTATTGCCCTGAGTGAGAGTCCTTAAAGCAGGTGGTGAAATCATACAATCAATTGCTTTTGAAAAGATGAGGCATGGCTCTGTGCATGGGTGGGTATGTGTATGGAGTTAGGTCTTGCCCTAGTAACAAAGGAATGTACCTTTCCCAACCTGTACAGAGGACGGAGAAATTGCTCGAAACAATTGATCAGCTTCACCTGGAGTTTGCCAAAAGAGCTGCTCCTTTCAACAACTGGATGGAAGGTGCTATGGAAGACCTACAGGACATGTTTATTGTTCATAGCATAGAGGAAATTCAGGTAAATGGTTGTCTATTTTTTGGCTTACAGTCATAGGGAAAACAAGAGAGGAAGCTTTTCCTTATTGGAGAGTAGAACACATGTAAGAAAAAAAAACATATCTGTCTTGACATTTTCTTTGTGATAGGCAATGTCTGCTCTATTATAAATGGGGAATAAATATTCCAGAGATCATGGAAGAAGTGATGGTCCTGGTAATGTCAATGAGGGCTGTTCCATGAATGTATCTATATGTATTATTTCCTGTATCTACAGCTACATGTCGACAGGGTGTTTGAGAGGCTGAGAGAGGAGCTCTGCTTATTTACTGCAGATCTTCCAGATGTTGGAAGAAACATTAACGTTTTCATCATTTCCCTCTCTGTTTCTGATTTTAGAGTTTAATCTCTGCACATGATCAGTTTAAAGCTACTTTGCCAGAGGCAGATGGTGAAAGACAGGCCATATTGTCAATCCAGAACGAAGTTGAAAAAGTTATTCAGAGTTACAGCATGAGAATAAGCGCAAGCAATCCTTACAGCACTGTTACTGTGGAAGAGATTCGTAGCAAGTGGGAAAAGGTAATGTATGCTAAATACATAAAGGACATTGTAACATAGCATTCTAGTTCAGGAATACTGAGAATATTCAGAGAACTTTACAATAAATCTGTAAATTATTCTGGATCATCAGATGCCAGAATGAGCTTTCTACAGTATCTTATGCTCTCCCTTATGTTTGCTAGGCTCGCTTCACAATATCCCTTGCTCCCATCACTCAATATTACCTACATCCTTTTTGGCTTTTTGGCAGGGCAAGAGAAGCACGTGTTGGGGCTAGTGCGGAGCTAGTGGCTGACCAGCGAATGGGCCAGGGGGTGCTGTCAAAAGAACAGAAAATTACTGTATTCTTTCTCTCAGTATAAACAGTAGTTTGTGTGTCTCTTCTACCCAGCTGCTGCTTTTCACAAATGTTGTAAAAAACTAGCATCTTTGGGACCATTAATGTTCTGTCCAATTAGACTGAAATTGGCAATTACCTTAAGAAATTGCTGGGGAGGGATTAAAGAGAGACTCCTAGAGCAATCACACAAACTTTGTTTCATTAGGAACCAAGACAGATAATATGCTGAGGGTAAATGATTCTGTAGAATGTATGAATTTACCAAATACATAAACTTACATGGACAAGGACACACCCTCAGTGGGTTATAAATACCAAACAATAGGGACTAAATTCAGAATCTTCCAGGGCAATCCAGCAGGGTAAGCCAAAAAAAAGCATTTGCAATGTATTAAAGACCTCCAGATTTACACGATGGACAGAATGTGTCTCGTTATCCTATTGTAATGTCTGTGCTTGAATAAAATGTTTTGCACTGACTATTCTTAGAACAATTACTTAGAGACTAAAAAATCACCCGTGTTTCAAAAGAAAAAAAAAAAGTAACTGCTCTAGTAGCTGTGCAAATTAAATAATTGTCCTGAACTTTAATCCATCCAGAGGTGAGAATTTTTTTACTCTCCATGTCAGTCTCTCTGGTCAGGCTGCCCAAAACCATGTTAGCAATTTCTTATGTTAGCACAGTCTTGGTAAATAAAATAGTGATCATGTTTCTGGCTTGTCTTTCTGATATCAACCTTCAGACCAATAAGAAAAATTAGTAAGTGTAGACTTATTTGTATCATTTGTTTTTAAACTATTTAATTGTGTGTGCTCACACTTAGTGCTTTCCCACTGTAACAGGTGAAGCAGCTGGTGCCTCAGAGGGATCAATCCTTGCAGGAGGAACTAGCCCGCCAGCACGCCAATGAGCGCCTGCGTCGCCAGTTTGCTGCTCAGGCCAATGTCATTGGGCCATGGATCCAGACCAAGATGGAGGTTAGCGTCAGACCCTCACACGGAAGCTGACGAACAAAGTGGTTCATAATTTTTTATCTCTGCTTTATAGACAGGACAACAGCAATCTCCATGATAGTTCACCAGCTGTTTGATCCTGAAGTATTTAACACCTGTTAAGATGATTTTTAAAACTTAGGAAGCTTGCACAAGTGGTACCTTAGTGATGAACAGGAGATGTAGCTTTGAAAAATCAGTCACTCAACAATTACTGTTTAGCTTCTGCTTTCTGTAAAGGAAAGATACCAGGATCACTGGGGTCTCAATGCTAATTCCAGAAACACATGTGCCACATTTCTTTTGAAATGTGTTTTCTACACTAAGATTTATCGTCTCCACTGTATGGTTTTATTACTGTTGCTTCTTAGTATGAAAATATTACATATTTATGTGAACATTGGTCAGATTAGCAAATCTGAAGCTCAAATTTTGTGGGGTGGGGGGGTGTCTTTCTTTCTTTTGACAGGAAATTGCCCGCAGCTCTATTGAAATGACAGGGCCTTTGGAGGACCAGATGAATCAGCTGAAGCAATATGAGCACAATATAATTAATTATAAGCACAACATTGACAAACTGGAAGGAGATCATCAGCTTATACAAGAAGCCCTGGTGTTTGACAACAAGCACACCAACTATACTATGGAGGTAGCCATTTACTCCCTTTTGTACTTGTTAGTTTATTCTGCCCTCTTCTGCCACAGAACTACCTTCCCTGATCTGAAGAGACAGCAACAGAGGATGGAATTTGGCAGACTTTCTGATAATCTCATAAAACTTGTTTTACTTTCACTTATTTTTACTTTTAGTGAAGAAGTACCCATTTAGAAACCATTTCCGTATTTTTCTGAAGGCCATTTTTATTTTTAATGATCCTTGGTCATAGTATAGAGTTAGTGGTATGGAAAAGGTACCACATAAATATTTAGAGCTGATTTTTTGCTTACTGTACTTTTCATACTCTTAGAAGAATATATTTGATTCTTTAATAAATCAGTATTTTCTTTCTCATAGCACATCCGTGTTGGATGGGAGCTCCTACTTACCACCATTGCTCGAACTATCAATGAGGTTGAGACTCAGATCCTCACAAGAGATGCCAAGGGTATCACCCAGGAACAAATGAATGACTTCAGAGCATCATTCAATCACTTTGACAGGGTACAGTACTCCTGCTTTTTCTCAACTAGCAATATTTATTGTTCCCAAAAGCAAGTTTCTTTTCATTCCAAATGTAAGCCTTTTAAAAAACTGCAAATGCAGTAGCAACAGGCTCTTTTTAAAACACCAAAAAGAGCAGTTAACAAAGAATTTACAGCCTTATGAAATCATATCATTGTATAGATATGTTAAAGATTAATTTTTGCTCTTTAAATGTAATGCAAAATTATATTTCTGCTAATATGGTTGAGTATTTGTTCAAATAATGGCAGAACTGGTTAAATCTGTGTGTTTTGGAAAATAATGTGCCCTTTTATTTTAAGGCAGTGCATCATGTTCTATGTACTTGCCGGCAGCTTCCATCTCATTAAATTTAGCTGTACAGTTTTTTTTTCTTTTAATCACAACTTGTCCCCCTAGAAATACATTTGTAGGAAATATAGTTGGGGCACTGATAGCTGTCAGGGAAAATCCTTTGTTTTTCTGGCTGTATATGGGAAATAAGAGGCTGTTTTTCCAGTTATCTAATCATGAATGAATAAAAAAGTAGGAATGAAAATATTGTGAAGAAACTTATTAACTCACTCCTGTGAGTTACGCAGTATTCATGGATAGAGGGTTAAAAAGATAGCTATTAATAGACACAATAGCAAAATACGTGTGGACAGGGATCTGACATTCCGAGTTGGAGAACAATCTGTACATGAGTTAGCTCTGCTGGCTCTGTGCTCACATGAACCCATCTTCAAAACCAAGTTCACATTTCAAATACTGAAAAAAAGATTATCATAATGCAGCACCAGGCTGTGTCCTTTTTCCCAGTACAGATTCCTGTAGTTAGCAGACTGTGCTTAACCCCCGACTTATGTTCTGTTATCACACAAGTCGGCTCCTTCAAATCATTTCAGGCTATAGCAAAATGCCACTTTCTTTTCACTGACATCCTGTTTGTCCAGCTCTACTCAAAATGGTTACCCATACCTGGACTTATACTTGATGTGCATTGGATGCTGACAGTCATAGTTTGCTAAATATTCTTTAGAATATCCTTAATTGTTCAGAAAGAAAAGCAGAATTGCCAAAACTCTGCTTTCTGAAGAAACACACAAGCACAGGAAAGGTTAGCTACACAGGAATCAGGAACAGATTTTTTGGAAAATCTTAATGTGATTCTAGTGCAGCATAATTCCTTTTTGTATTTTCTAAGGAAGCAGAAGATAACATCACAGAAACAGACATAAATTTCCTGGGGTGGAAGGTAGTAGCATACTAAATGGCTTTCCCAATGGACTGGAGCAGATAACTGAGCAATTAGAGCTATTAAAAGCAGACAGAGTACCAGGCCTGGATAAATTACATGCCAGTATTTGAGAGACCATACTAAGGGAAACCAGGGACTTTGCACAAAGATTTGACAGCTCCCTAAAGATAAAGAGGCAAGGTAACTGAATCCTAGTATATCTTACACTAGATGGCCATTTCTAGCATCCCCGTATCTTTGTAGTTCACAGATGGGATCTCTGCCACGCTCACGGCAGGGCTGGTTCAGTGGCTGAGGAGATATCATGGGCATCTCTTGGTGCCTCAGAAGGTCTTGAAGGGAGAGGCTAAATCCTGCACCAACCAGCCCTATTGTTATGGATCTTTAGGCTTTGCAGATATAGTAAGACTTTGAGATACCGAAGGACACAACAGAGCAAGGTCTTAGGAAAGGTTGTATGGCCTGGAAGAGGGCGCTCGTGTCACATAGATGCAGGCGGGTTGGAGATGGGCTGTGACATGTGCAATGTGCAACACAGAAGTGCTTCCCAGCTCCTAGATCCTTGCCTATCCCTGGCTGTCTCCTTTCTTCAGACTGTAATGAGTCATGGCTTCAGGCAGTGCCCCTTCTGCCCTTGCTTCTGTTGCAGGAAGCCCAAGTGGCCAGGTCAGAAGCAGAAGGAGATAGATGCTTCATCAGTTTCTATGGCCGCAACAACCTGGGCCTGGACTGCAAGTTTAGCTGCAGTCCTTACCTTCCCTCATGACAGATATAATCCAAAGGCCTTAAAAAAGAGGCCTGGAAGGATCACGTTGAGGGAAGGACCATTGTGCATATGCCCCCTTTAGTATACTCCTTCCCTTAGCATCAGACATAGGAAATTGGCCGGGGAGGACTTTTGTACTGACACAGTGCAACAATTACCTTCTTAGTAGCGTAATGCAAGTTAAAGAAAGGAAGAAAGTAAGATCTAAAACCACTCAGCCATCAAGCCAGGCTTTCTGCAGGGGACAGATAGTAGAAACACTGATAAAAGAGAAGCTTATACTGATTAAATTACACTGTAATTTAATGGGGAGATGCGACTCAATCTATGCAGGCTAGAAGGAAACATTGAACAAACATGTTTGAGAGAGGCAGGCTTGTTTTTCATTGTTATATCCTTCCTTGCACACTCGAATATTTAGTGTTGGTGAATAAAGGAAACCCAGGGTGCTTCAGAGTTACTTCAGGGTACACAAAATAATGAAGACTCTAAACTTGGAATTTGGATAGAGAAGGCAGTAATGGATTCTTTTGTGGTCTTGATTACCTTAAATAGAAATGAAGATGAAACTGGATCATCTGAATGTAAGCACTAACATGAAAAATACTGGCTCTCCATGTCAGACGGAATTAGCAGTATATGTAATAATTTCGTTGCACTTGGCAGCATTTCTGAATGCCTGACATGGTTTAAAAAATACACTGAAAGAACTGGACTGCTGTTCACAATGATGAAGAGCCAGAAAAGATCCCAAAAATTAATGCTGTCACTGACGAGTAGGCTTTAAATACCAAAGCACAACAGAATCACTTAGGCATGCTGTAGCTCTGACTTCTGTGGCATTTCTCCAATTTAAGACATATCTTAATGTTTGACTCTTAGTTTGTGTTGAGGATGTCAGCAAAGTACTAATATGCAGAGTAGCTCCCTTCCCCATTTTAAAGAATGTATTTTGGTACACATAAACCTAACAACTTCTTATACAGTGCTTCCAGAAACAACTTCCTTTGTTTATAAATCTGAGGAAGGAGCCCCTATCTTCCTCCCCAGGAAGAATATATAAAAAATAAAACTCTTACAGTTCATGATGCATTATGGAGCTTAATTCTGCAGTTGTTAATCCTTTGAAAGAGAGCTAAATAATTGTGTGAATTGTTTTAAATGGCTTCTATATCTTGAATATTTGAAAGAAAACTCTTTGGTATTTTACAAGGGGTTTTTTGGGGGGGCTACATGACCCTGACTCTCAAACTGTGGTGAGTAAGTGGGCACCATGCATATAAGAATTACAAGGGCAGGAAGAGCTGTGTTTCTTTCAGTGCATCCACCAGCAGAGATGTGCTAGCACAGAAAGCTTTACAAGTCGCCCTTGTTAAAGGCAAGTGGTAAATACGCCACCTCCCTTGCGGCAAGGGGGCAGCCCTCTAGGCTCTTGTGTTTCCGACAGGCACGTACACACGCTGGTACCCCAGAGTTTATTCCTGAGGATGCTGCTGCTTACCCACTACTCCTTGCTGGAGGCTGTGCCTGAAGGCACAGTCTAGTTGTAGGTATAAATATAAATCTTTAGCAACGCTTCCTTAATGTGACTGCATAGAGAAAAAAAGAGAAAGTGGGACACAATATCTGAATCACAGAAGCAGTTTAGAAGTGTTCAAAATGGTGCATAGCTGAATTACGGTATGCAGACAAATCGGGACACCAACACAGATACGTTGTCAGTCGCTGGTTTTGAAGTCTTTTTATGCAGGGATTCCTTTTTCAGATTCAGTATATTTAGTGAATTCTAAATAAGATTGCGAAGTATGTGATAAAATATCTGCAGCTGCTCTGCATGTCATATCTTAATGGCTGTTAACATATTCTACTGTTGATTTTTGTGCAAACTACAGATTTTAAGTAGGAGCTCTGCACGCAGAACAATAGCATCATGCCAGCCTATATTTTACTAACAGAAAACCAACGGCTCCCTATTAAAGGAACCACATGATCAGGCTTATGGAGGTCAGTTAGCATTCAGGAAACTGAAGGACATATTTAAGAATAGATGACTTTGACTCAAAAGCTCACTTGTTTTATAAGGCCACACATAAATCACAAAGGGGAAGAAAAAGATTTCTGGGGACTAATAGTGAAACATGGAGGGGGATTTCAGTGTTTTACTTTGTATTGGCCGGAAAAGATGAATAAGGCAAAATTATTTATATGCTTTAAAAAACTAATTTCAGTGCTTAATGTTGATCTGCAAACAATAAAAATAAATACAAAGAACCATTTCCCAATGAGAAAGCCTTTGCATGGGCTTGATCTATGCATTAATTGCAAAATACCATTGTATCCCATGAAACTCTGATATACTGCGAAGGCAAAGATGCCTTTTTAGGCCATATATGATGCAGATTAAAAAAATTCACTACAAGAATGTGAGAACCTGCTATAGTACACGGCACAACTACCTGGACCCTCACTGGGGAGTCCCATTTAACCGGATGACAGGTGTGAGCTCCAGCACAACCGTTGCGCTCCTCTCCTAAAGAAAATGTTTTCCTGGTAGACGTGCTGGCCTCTCTCACTCCCGTCTGCCCTTTGCTACCTGCTGCACGACTACTGCTGCCATGTGTGCCTGGTTAGGGAGCTCATGCACATACTGACCGCCCACCCCCCGGTGTAGTCAGGTAGCCAATAGTCCTCTACCAACACCTAGCAGAGGAGGTGGAGGGACAGGATTTGACTCTTAGCTCCCATTTTTATACCATTTTGTTTGCAGTCACACAGTAATACCTTCGGCTTTAGAAATAAGATAAAATATGCTGACTTCACTCCTGGTGTGACCTGCCATAGCCTGTCTCCAGGATGGTTTTGGAGAGTTTCCAGCTGGCCTCGATTAACATTTTCAGAATGATAAATAAACCATTTTGAATGCTTTACAGCAGAAATTATCCTATAAAATAGAACTGTTAAAGGAAAAAGCTTCACTGTGATTATGGCTTTTAACTAAATGCTGCTCCAGATTTGCAGCTTTGCTTTATCTCTTGTCATTGACTTCCCACTGTTATTTTTCATCTTCCCTTTATGGAGCTGGTGGAGGCTGATGCAGAGGGAGTCAATATAATAACAGCATGATATGTCAAAAATGCATGGTGTTATGAACTTAATAAAGCACCGCTTTATCCTGTTAGTATATTAAATAAACCCAGTGCATTTGTTAAAACTCCTATAATTTTAGTTATGCATAACTACATAGAAATTTTCAAAAATAAATTATTCATCCAGCAGGCAAATATGTAGCAGACAGAAAACCTTGGATCGTCTCCAAACTGTCAGTCTGTAAAATCAATAAGGGTAATAATTTTTCATCTTAGAACGTCTCTTCAATTGTATACATGCTAACTCAATCTGAAGTACACCTCTGATAAGACACATTTTGTATGAACAGGAAGAAAAAGATAAGCCAGTCTGTTTTTAAGAAGTTAGTGTGAATTTCTTGATCTGCAAAATGGAAAAAAATATTGGTTCAAAACAATGATCCAGTTCGATGTGGTGTTACTAGGAGCCATTTAACCAGGAATTCAATGGGGCTTTTTTAAAGTCAGTTTTCGTAGCAAAAGTTTACCGTATAGATTATTAAAGAAGACAGATAACTGAAAATAAGTTATGTCAGTTATAAATTTATTTTAAAATTATTATTGTCAGTTATAAATTTATTTAGACAAGAAATCAATTTTTTGTACTTCTACTCTCTTTTGAGATATGCATTTAACAGTTGTTAAGTAATATTATCAGATCAAGAGTGAAGTAACAGTAATGGAGTGGGGAAAAAATGTTGTGCCCAGGTTCAGTGATCTTTTTACTGCATCTCACATACACCGTATGACAAGAGAAAATGAAAGAAGCAAATGGCAGTTCAATAGAATAAAAACTGCCTTATCAGCAAAAAACTCCACCTGAAGAGGAAGCACAGTTTTAACACTGTAGCTGAAGTAAGGACCCTCTTCCACTAACAAAAAACCTAAAGCATGAAACTGCAAAAGTTGTACACTTTTTAGGTAATTCGTTGCCATATGTTGACATTATGTTTCCATGAAGTTCTGTAAAAACATGGTTGTTAATACAAGAGTAGAATGTTCTTTACTAACCAACTAACCTGATCTGTGATTTTTCTTTCTTTCCTTTTTACCTTCCCAAATGCATGACCTGTGATGGGATGCTAGGATGAATCTGACAATCTACATTCTGATGAATTTAAAGCCTGCCTCATCAGTCTAGGACAGGTTGGAAATGACCTGCAGGTAGAGGAAACTGATATTGTTCTGTTTTCAGATAGGCCAATATAATAACAGCCAAAGAGACTGTGGGTTTAAACTCCAATGTATTGGTCATAATGCTTTGAAAAGATCCTGCCTCTGGAAAGCCAACAGGATTAGATGGACTGTCAGCATCACTTGGAGCCATATTTTTCTATGCATTTTTCAAAGATTTTTCAGGTTGTTTCTTTTATTTGGTTTGAGATGTTTTATTTGGACTCTACTAGATAGCCGTGGGGAGCTCCTATGCTTCTTGCACTTGGACTTTTGCTAATTTTCCTTTCCTGGAACTCAGCACAAGCTCTCTACTGCTCTCTCCTGATTTAGGATGACATAATGCTCTCCAAACCGCTACACTGTATCACAACACAGAGGAAATGTTTATTTACCTTCTTATTATCATGCCATTTA